TGTATGGGGTGTGATGGAGGGGGGGTGTCATGTATGGGGTGTGATGGAGGGGGGGTGTCATGTATGGGGTGTGATGGAGGGGGTGTCATGTATGGGGTGTGATGGAGGGGGTGTCATGTATGGGGTGTGATGGAGGGGGGTGTCATGTATGGGGTGTGATGGAGGGGGTGTCATGTATGGGGTGTGATGGAGGGGGTGTCATGTATGGGGTGTGATGGAGGGGGGGTCATGTATGGGGTGTGATGTATGGGGGGTCATGTATGGGGTGTGATGGGGGGTCATGTATGGGGGGTCATGTATGGGGGGTCATGTATGGGGGGTCATGTATGGGGGGTCATGTATGGGGTTTGCACATACAGGGTTATAATACATAAGGTTATCATCATGTATAAGGCTATTGTCATGTAGAAGGCTATCATGTATGAGGTTTTCACATGTAAGGTTATAATACGTAAGTTATCATATATGATGTTATAATGCATAAGTTATATGAGGTTATAATACATAAGTTATCATATGAGGTTATAATACATAAGTTATCATATATGAGGTTATAATACGTAAGTTATCATATATGAGGTTATAATACATAAGTTATCATATATATGTATTATAAGATTATCATATAACCCTGGTTGTAAGGTTGTAATACATAACTTATGTATTATAACCTTATCTATGATAACTTATCATATATGAGGTTATAATACATATGTATTACAACCTCATATATAACTTATGTATTATAACCTCATATATGATAACTTATGTATTATAACCTCATATGTGATAACTTATGTATTATAACCTTATTTATGATAACTTATGTATTATAACCTCATATATGATAAGTTATCATAGATAAGGTTATAATACATAAGTTATCATATATATGTATTATAAGATTATCATATAACCCTGGTTGTAAGGTTGTAATACATAAGTTATCATAGATAAGGTTATAATACATAAGTTATCATAGATAAGGTTATAATATAAACCTCATATATGATAACTTATGTATTATAACCTTATCTATGATATCATATATATGTATTATGAGATGATCATATAACCCTGGTTGTAAGGTTGTGATACATAAGGTTATCATATATAAGGCTATCATATAGAAGGTTATCACCACGTATAAGGCTACCCTATATAAAGCTGTAGTACATTATATACAATAGCCTTATATATGATAACTTTATGTATTATAACCTCCTATATGATAACCTTCTATACGATAGCATTAGATAATAACCTTATATATGATAGCTTATATATAACATTGTATGTGATAGCTTTATATATTATAATCTCACATATGATAACCTTATATGGTATAATCTCATATACAATAAGATCATACACAATCACCTTATATATGATATCCCTATCATGTGTAAGGTTACTACACATGACTTTACCATATATAAGGTGATTGTATATGAGATTATACCATATAAGGTTATAATACATAAGGTTACCATATATAAGATTATCATATATGAGATTATAACATATAAAGTGATAGCCTTATAATAAAGTTATCATCTATAAGGTTATTATATAGTGCTATCATATATAATGTGCTATAACCTTATAGATGATAACTTTATAGATGATAACCTTATAGATGCTGACCTTATAGATGATTGATAACCTTATAGATGCTGACCTTATAGATGATAACTTTATAGATGCTGACCTTATAGATGATTGATAACCTTATAGATGATTGATAACCTTATAGATGATTGATAACCTTATAGATGCTGACCTTATAGATGCTGACCTTATAGATGCTGACCTTATAGATGCTGACCTTATAGATGCTGACCTTACAGATGATTGATAACCTTATAGATGCTGACCTTATAGATGATAACTTTATAGATGGTGACCTTATAGATGACTGATAACCTTATAGATGATTGATAACCTTACAGATGCTGACCTTATAGATGATAACCTTATAGATGCTGACCTTATAGATGATAACTTTATAGATGGTGACCTTATAGATGATTGATAACCTTATAGATGCTGACCTTATAGATGATAACTTTATAGATGCTGACCTTATAGATGATTGATAACCTTATAGATGATAACCTTATAGATGACTGGGGGAGAGCATGGGATGGCAGCAGGGGGGATATATAGGGTACGGATCAGGTGCAGGGGTGGTCAGGAAGAGGACACAAGAACCATAGAGGGGGAATAGGAATAAAGGGGCATGGGGGGCAATATATAGGGTGTATGTGATGTAGGGGGTGTATGATATGGGGGGGTGTATGATATGGGGGGTACCTTGGTGGCCCCCCAAGTCTCATTCCCAATCTCCTCAGCCAGTTTCTCATCGTCGGTGATAAGGAAGTTGTCAAAGATGGTCCCGGATTTCACCTATAAAAGAAGGGGGAAAAGTGGGGTTTGGGGGGGGGGTTCTATAGGGTTGGGGGGGGTTCTCTATGGGGCTGGAGGGGGTCCCACCTGCCAGAGGTCGAGGCCAATGACACCGAAGCTGTCGTAGGCGTAGAGCAAGGGGTCGGGGCTGTAGTCGGGGTTGTCGATCTCGGGGTGCACCCATTTGCCCTTGTAGTCGGGGTTGTCGATCTGCCGCGGCCGCCACTCGCCCTACGGGGGGGAATGGGGGGGTCAGAGCACCCCAAAATGCACCCAAAGTACCCATAAAGCACCCAAAGCACCCCCAAAAGCACCCCAAAATGCACCCAAACCCCCCAAAAAGCACCCAAACCGCCCCAAACGGCCCCATAAACCACTCAAACCGCCCCCAAAAGCGGCCCAGAACGCACCCAAACCCCCAAAAAGGACCCCAAAAAGGACCCAAACCCCCCATAAAGCAGCCAAACCGCCCCCAAAAGCACCCCAAAAGCCCCAAAAAGCACCCCAAAATGCTCCCAACCACCCCATAAAGCACCCCAAACCACCTCAACCCCCCCCCATAAAGAGCCCAAACCACCCCAAAAAGCACCCCAAACCACCCCATAAAGCACCCAAACCACCCCAAAAGCGCCCCGAAGCGCCCCAAAAAGCACCCCAAACCACCCCATAAAGCACCCAAACCACCCCAAAAGCGCCCCGAAGCGCCCCAAAAAGCACCCCAAACCGCCCCAAAAAGCGCCCAAAATGCCCCCAAAAGCACCCCAAACCACCCAAACCGCCCCATAAAGCACCCCAAGAAGCACCCAAACCACCCCATAAAGCACCCCAAGAAGCACCCAAACCACCCCATAAAGCACCCCAAAACACACCCAAAGCACCCCCAAAAGCACCCAAACCACCCCAAAAAGCACCCCAAACCACCCCAAAAACCCCAAACCGCCCCAAACAGCACCCCAAAACACACCCAAACCACCCCAAAATGCACCCAAACTGCCCCAAAAGCGCCCCAAAACACACCCAAACCACCCCAAAACGCAACCTAAAGCACCCAAACCACCCCCAAACCTCCCCATAAAGCACCCAAACCACCCCATAAAGCACCCCAAAATGCACCCAAAGCACCCCCAAAAGCACCCAAACCGCCCCAAACCACCCCAAAAACCGCCCCAAAAGCGCCCCAAAACACACCAAAACCACCCCAAAATGCACCCCAAAACACACCCAAACCACCCCATAAAGCACCCCAAAACGCCCCCAAAAGCACCCCAAAACACACCCAAACCAACCATAAAGCACCCAAACCACCCCAAAACGCCCCCAAACCACCCATAAAGCACCCAAACCACCCCAAAAAACGCCCCAAAACACACCCAAACCACCCCAAAAAGTGCCCCAAAACACACAAACCACCCCAAAACGCACCCCATAAAGCACCCCAAGCACCGCAAAATGCCCCCAAAAGCACCCCAAAACGCACCCAAACCACCCCAAAAGCGCCCCAAAACACACCCAAACCACCCCAAAAAGCGCCCCAAGCACCCCATAAAGCACCCCAAGCCGCCCCCAAAGCACCCCAAAACACCCCCAAACCACCCCAAAGCACCCAAAACACCCCCAAAACCACCCCAAACCGCCCCAAAAAGCACCCAAACCGCCCCATAAAGCACCCAAACCACCCCATAAAGCACCCTAAACCACACCCCAACAGCCCCAAAAGCACCCCAAACCGCCCCCAAAGCACCCCAAACCGCCCCAAAGCACCCCATAAAGCACCCCAAACCACCTCAAACCCCCCATAAAGAGCCCAAACCTCCCCATAAAGCGCCCAAACCACCCCCAAACCGCCCCATAAAGCACCCCAAACTGCACCGCAACAGCCCCAAAAGCACCCCAAACCGTCCCCAAAGCACCCCATAAAGCACCCCAAACCACCTCAAACCCCCCATAAAGAGCCCAAACCTCCCCATAAAGCGCCCAAACCACCCCCAAACCGCCCCATAAAGCACCCAGAGCACCCCCTAAAGAGCCCAAACCATCCCAAAAGCACCCAAAGCACCCCATAAAGCGCCCAGAGCACCCCATAAAGCACCCAGAGCACCCCATAAAGCACCCAGAGCACCCCATAAAGCACCCAGAGCACCCCATAAAGCACCCAGAGCACCCCATAAAGCACCCAAAGCACCCCATAAAGCACCCAAAGCACCCCAAAAGCACCCAGAGCACCCCATAAAGCACCCAGAGCACCCCATAAAGCGCCCAAAGCACCCCCTAAAGCACCCAGAGCACCCCAAAACGCACCCAGAGCACCCCCTAAAGCACCCAGAGCACCCCCTAAAGAGCCCAAACCACCCCAAAAGCACCCAAAGCACCCCATAAAGCACCCAGAGCACCCCATAAAGCACCCAGAGCACCCCATAAAGCACCCAGAGCACCCCCTAAAGAGCCCAAACCACCCCAAAAGCACCCAAAGCACCCCATAAAGCACCCAGAGCACCCCATAAAGCACCCAGAGCACCCCATAAAGAGCCCAGAGCACCCCATAAAGAGCCCAGAGCACCCCATAAAGAGCCCAGAGCACCCCAAAAGCACCCCATAAAGAGCCCAAACCACCCCAAAAGCACCCAAAGCACCCCATAAAGCACCCAGAGCACCCCATAAAGCGCCCCCCACCTTGTACTCCGGGTTCTGGATGACGGGGGGCTCCCACTCCCCATCCATTTCCTCGTCCCAGTCCTCCGGCTTCTTGGCATCGGGGTCCGGGATGTGCTCGGGTTTATCCCAGTCCTGCAGGGAACGGGGGGGTCAGGGCAGGGCCGGAACCCCAACACCCCATGGACACCCCCAGTGACCCCAAACCACCCCCAACACCCCATAGACACCCTCAGGGCCCCCCCAAACCACTCTCAAGACCCCACAAAAACCCTCAGCCCCCCCCAATACCCCCAAACCCCCCTTCAAGACCCCACAGACACCCTCAGCCCCTCCCAAAGCCCCTAAACCCCCCAATACCCACCCAATACCTCCAGCCCCCCCCAAGACCCCATAGACACCCTCAGCCCCCCCAAACCACCCTCAAGACCCCATAGACACCCTCAGATCCCCAAACCCCCCTCAAGTCCCCATAGACACCCTCAGCCCCCCCAAAACCCCAGACCCCCCCAAACCCCCCTCAAGACCCCATAGACACCCTCAGCCCCCCCAAACCCCCTTCAAGACCCCACAGACACCCTCAACCCCTCCCCCCAAAACCCCTAACCCCCCCAATACCCCCCTCAAGACCCCATAGACACCCTCAGCCCCCCCCAAAGCCCCTAAACCCCCCCAATACCCCTAAACCCCCCCTCAAGACCCCATAGACACCCTCAGCCCCCCCAAACCACCCTCAAGACCCCAGACACCCTCAACCCCCCCCCCAAAACCCCTTCAAGACCCCATAGAAACCCTCAGCCCCCCCAAACCCCCCTCAAGACCCCACAGACACCCCCAGACACCCCCAAACCACTCAAGACCCCATAGACACCCTCAGCCCCCCCAATAACCCCAACCCCCCCTCAAGACCATACAGACACCCCTCAACCCCCCCAAAGCCCCTAAACCCCAATACCCCTAACCCCCCCTCAAGACCCCACAGACACCCTCAGGCCCCCCAAACCACCCTCAAGACCCCATAGACACCCTCAGCCCCCCCCAAAGCCCCTAAACCCCCCAAATAACCCTAAACCCCCCAAGACCCCACAGACACCCCCAGCCCCCCCCAAACCCCCCTCAAGACCCCATAGACACCCTCAGCCCCCCCAAACCCCCCCCCCAAAAGACCCCATAGACACCCTCAGCCCCCCCAACCACTCTCAAGACCCCATAGACACCCCCAGACCCCCCCCAAACCCCCTTCAAGACCCCACAGACACCCTCAGCCCCCCCAAACCACCCTCAAGACCCCATAGACACCCTCAACCCCCCCCCCCCAAACCCCCCCCCCCAAGACCCCCTCAAGACCCCAAACACCCCATCAGACCCTCAAGACCCCATAGACACCCTCAGCCCCCCTTTTGCCCCCCCAAACCACCCTCAAGACCCCACAGACACCCTCAACCCCCCCCAAACCACCCTCAAGACCCCATAGACACCCTCAACCCCCCCCAAAGCCCAAACCCCCCCCCTTTTTGCCCCCCAAACAAGACCCCACAGACACCCCCAGACCCCCCCCCCCCCAAACCACCCTCAAGACCCCATAGACACCCTCAGCCCCCCCAAACCACCCTCAAGACCCCACAGACACCCTCAGCCCCCCCCAAACCCCCTTCAAGACCCCATAGACACCCTCAACCCCTCCCCCCAAAACCCCTAAACCCCCCCAATACCCCTAATCCCCCCTCAAGACCCCAGAGACACCCTCAGCCCCCCCAAACCCCCTCAACCCCCCCCAAGACACCCATACCCCCCCCCCCCAAACCCCCTAAGACCCCACCACCCTAAACCCCCCAAGACCCCCCAGACCCCCCCAAAGCCCCCCCCCAAACCCCCCTCACCCCATAGACACCCTCAGCCCCCCCAAACCTCCTAAGACCCCATAGACCCCCCAACCCCCTCAGACCCCCCCCAAACCCCCTTCAAGACCCCATAGACACCCTCAGCCCCCCCAAACCACCCTCAAGACCCCACAGACACCCTCAGCCCCCCCCAATACCCCCAACCCCCACCTCAAGAACCCATAGACACCCTCAACCCCCCCCAAAACCCCTAACCCCCCCAATACCCCCCTCAAGACCCCATAGACACCCTCAGCCCCCCAAACCACCCTCAAGACCCCACAGACACCCCCAGACCCCCCAAACCCCCCTCAAGACCCCATAGACACCCTCAGCCCCCCCAAACTACTCTCAAGACCCCATAGACACCCTCAGCCCCCCCAAAACCCCTAACCCCCCCCAACCACCCTCAAGACCCCATAGACACCCTCAGCCCCCCCAAACCACTCTCAAGACCCCATAGACACCCTCAGCCCCCCCAAACCCCCCTCAAGACCCCATAGACACCCCCAGACCCCCCCCCAAACCCCCTTCAAGACCCCATAGACACCCTCAACCCCACCCCCCAAAGCCCCTCCCCCCCCTTCCCCCCTCCCCCACCTCAGGTTTGGTGTCCTCGGGGTCATCGATCTTGGCGCGCTCGTCCCAGTCCTGGGGTTTTTGGGCCTGGGGGTCGCGGATGCGGCGGGGGGGGAGCAGGTCCCAATCGTCCTCCAGGGCCCCCCCCTCCACGCGCCCGTTGTCGATCTTCACCTCGTACGTGTTGTCCGGGCGCAGCACCAGGGTGTAGAGGTGCGTGAACTCATCGTCCTATGGGGGGGGGAAGAGCCCCACAAGTCAGGTGTGGGGCAGGGACCCACATACTGCCCTATAGGGAGCAGGGGTCCACACATCACCCCATAGGGAGCAGGGACCCCACCATCACATTCATAAGGGATAAGGGGTGAGTCATGGTGGAAGGGATGCACACCCACCAACTCCATTATCCCACATTACACCATATGGGGCAGGGACCCACACATCGCCCCATAGGGAGCAGGGACCCACACATTGCCCCATAGGGAGCAGGGAGCCACATATCGCCCCAGAGGGAGCAAGGGTCCACACATTGCCCCATAGGGAGCAGGGAACCCCCCCATCACATTCATAAGGGATAAGGACTGCCCCACGGTGGAAGGGATGCACACCCCCCAACTCCATTATCCCACATTACACCATATGGGGCAGGGACCCACACATTGCCCCACAGGGAGCGGGGACCCCCCCATCACATTCATAAGGGGTAAGGGTTGAGCCATGGTGGAAGGGATGCACACACCCCCACACACACACTCCATTATCCCACATTATACCATATGGGGCAGGGACCCACACATTGCCCCATAGGGAGCAGGGAGCCACGCGCGGCCCCATAGGGAGCAGGGACCCCCCCATCACATTCATAAGGGATAAGGGGTGAGCCATGGTGGAAGGGATGCACACACCCCCCCCCCCACCCCAACTCCATTATGCCACATTACACGATGTGGGGCAGGGACCCACACATGGCCCCATAGGGAGTGGGGAGCCACACATTGCCCCATAGGGAATAGGGAGCCACGCATGGCCCCATAGGGAGCAGGGAGCCACGCATGGCCCCATAGGGAGCAGGGAGCCACGCATGGCCCCATAGGGAGCAGGGAGCCACGCATGGCCCCATAGGGAGCAGGGAGCCACGCATGGCCCCATAGGGAGCAGGGAGCCACGCATGGCCCCATAGGGAGCAGGGAGCCACGCATGGCCCCATAGGGAGCAGGGAGCCACACACGGCCCCGTAGGGAACAGGGAACCCCCCCATCACATTCATAAGGGATAAGGATTGCCCCACAGTGGAAGGGATGCACACCCACCAACTCCATTATCCCACATTACACCATATGGGGCAGGGACCCACACATTGCCCCATAGGGAGCAGGGGTCCACACATTGCCCCATAGGGAGCAGGGAACCCCCCCATCACATTCATAAGGGATAAGGGGTGAGCCATGGTGGAAGGGATGCACACACCCCCCCCCCAACACCATTATCCCACATTACACCATGTGGGGCAGGGACCCACACATCGCCCCATAGGGAGCAGGGGTCCACACATTGCCCCATAGGGAGCAGGGAACCCCCCCATCACATTCATAAGGGATAAGGATTGCCCCACCGTGGAAGGGATGCACATACCCCAACTCCATTACCCACATTACACCATATGGGGCAGGGACCCACACATCGCCCCATAGGGAGCAGGGACCCACACATTGCCCCATAGGGAGCAGGGACCCCCCTTCACCCATCACATTCATAAGGGCTGATGCACGGTGGAAGGGATGCACACACACCCCCCCCCCCCAACTCCATTATCCCACATTACACGATGTGGGGCAGGGACCCACACATTGCCCCAGAGAGACCAGGGACCCCCCCCCCCACCAAACACATCCATAAGGGATAAGGATTGCCCCACAGTGGAAGGGATGCACATACCCCAACTCCATTACCCACATTACACCATATGGGGCAGGGACCCACACATCGCCCCATAGGGAGCAGGGACCCCCCCCATCACATTCATAAGGGATAAGGGGTGAGCCATGGTGGAAGGGATGCACACCCACCAACTCCATTATCCCACATTACACAATATGGGGCAGGGACCCACACATTGCCCCATAGGGAGCAGGGACCCACACATCACCCCATAGGGAGCAGGGACCCACACATCACCCCATAGGGAGCAGGGACCCACACATCACCCCATAGGGAGCAGGGACCCACACATCACCCCATAGGGAGCGGGGAGCCACACAGGCCCCATAGGGAGCGGGGAGCCACACAGGCCCCATAGGGAGCGGGGAGCCACACAGGGCCCCATAGGGAGCGGGGAGCCACACAGGGCCCCATAGGGAGCAAGGACCCCCCCATCACATCCATAAGGGATAAGGACTGCCCCACGGTGGAAGGGATGCACACACACACCCACCCCCAACTCCATTATCCCACATTACACGATATGGGGCAGGGACCCACACATCACCCCATAGGGAGCAGGGATACCCCCCCCCATAGGGGACAGGGATACCTCCATCACACCCCAATGTGGGGCAGGGATACCCCCCACATAGAACAGGGCATCTCCATCACTTCCCATCACAGAATGTGGGGCAAGAACCCCCCCCCAACCCTGTCCCTTCCTTAATGGGGGGCAGGAACCCCTTCCCCCAAGCACACTCCATCACCAAACATGGGGCATGGAACCCCCATCACCCCTTCATCACCCCACTGGGGGCAAAGACCCCCCCCAACTCCAATCATCACATCACCCAATGTGGGGCAGGAACCCCATTACCCCCCCATATACATCTCATTACCCTACATGAAGCACAAACACCCCCCAACACCCAATGTGGGGCAGGAACCCCATTACCCCCCCATACACATCTCATTACCCCACATGAGAAAGGGACACCCCCAAACACCCAATGTGGGGCAGGAACCCCATTACCCCCCCATACACATCTCATTACATGAAGCACAGACACCCCCAAACACCCAATGTGGGGCAGGAACCCCATTACCCCCCCAACTCATTACCCCATGTGACTCACAGACACCCCCCAACACCCAATGTGGGGCAGGAACCCCATTACCCCCCCATACACATCTCATTACCCCACATGAGAAAGGGACACCCCCAAACACCCAATGTGGGGCAGGAACCCCATTACCCCCCCCATACACATCTCATTACCCCAGATGAGGTAAGGACAGCCCCCAACACCTAATGTAGGGCAAGAACCCCATTACCCCCCATACACATCTCATTACTCTACATGAAGCAGCCACCCCCCAACACCTCATATAGGGCAGGAACCCCATTACCAATGGGGGGCCCTATACATACACATCTCATTACTCTACATGAAGCACAGACACCCCCCAACACCCAATGTGGGGCAGAAACCCCATTACCCCCCATACACATCTCATTACCCCACACGAGAAAGGGACACCCCCAAAACACCCAATGTGGGGCAGGAACCCCATTACCCCCACACACACATCTCATTACCCCACATGAGAAAGGGACACCCCCAAACACCCAATGTGGGGCAGGAACCCCATTACCCCATCTCATTACCCCATGTGACTCACAGACACCCCCCAACACCCAATGTGGGGCAGGAACCCCATTACCCCCCCATACACATCTCATTACCCCACATGAGGTAAGGACACCCCCCAACACCTAATGTAGGGCAAGAACCCCATTACCAATGTGGGGCAGGAACCCCATTATCCCCCATACACATCTCATTACCCTACATGAAGCAGCCACCCCCCAACACCTCATATAGGGCAGGAACCCCCATTACCAATGTGGGGCAAGAGCCCCATTACCCCCCCCCCCCCACATCTCATTACCCCACATAAAAGAGAAACACCCCCAATATGGGGCAAAGAACCCTCAACATCCCCCCATGGAGAAGCAGCACCTACACACACACTCCCCAACGCACCCCCCCACTTCATTAAGCCATATGGGGCAGTCAGCCCCACACATGTGGGGCACAGCACCCCCCTTTTTCTTTACCTTGCATCGTATGTCCTTATTGATAAGCACATTCTTCCCTTTGTAGTTAAGGATAACGTGAACCTTCTTAGTGCCGGGGCCGCAGATATCGGGGCCTGGAGGAGGAAGAGGATGCTGAAAGGGGGCCGGGGGTGGGGATGATGAAGATCCTATGGGGCACACTTATGGGGCACGCACCGAACATGATGTTATACTCGGAATCGCCGTGCATGTCGTCCTGGTTGAGGCTGGCGGGGAAGAGCTTCACGTAACCCCCGCCGCAGTCGATGCTCTGCTCGTGCTTCACGGTGAACTGCAGCACCAAGCTCTTAGCGCGGTTACTGAAGGGCTCGAAGCGAGCAGAGAGAGCATAGAAACGGGCGTCCTGGCTCGTCTGGATCCCTATGGACACCGGGAATGTGTGGGGTTGAAAAGTGTGGGGCAAGAAAGGGGATTGATCCCCCCCCATATCATCCCCAATGGGGATGCAGGCAGCTCCAAGCTTTACCTTTGTCCTTCTCGGCGTCCCCATAGAACTTGCCGGCGCTGAGCACGAAGCGCCCGTAGTCGGGTTTGTGCTTGGATTCCACCCAGCGGTGGGTCCAGGCATCTATGGGGCAGGGGGGACATCAGTCAGAACCCATAAGTGGGGGTTTGAGGCGGTTTTGGGCCCATAGATACCCCACAAAAGGGACTGCGCCCAGGTTTAGAGCACTGGGGGAGGCATCTGTGACTGGTTGTAGAGATTCCCCCCACACACTCAGCCCTGTGTTTGCCACAGTGGGGCCTCGCTCGGCCCCACATGTGCCCCAATGGGGCCTCACTCGGCCCCATATATATCAATACATATATAGAGACACTAGGGGGTCAAGAGAGGGTTTGGGACTGCAGAAGACCACAAACCCTCCCACTAGGGAACCCCTCTGCCCCCCAAGTTATAAGGCTCCATTCAGCCCCACCCTTCCCCATCCCCCCCCCAAGGCTTGATCACAGGCCCCCATTGACTCTCACATCACCCTCATGCTCCTCAGCCCCACTTTGGGGGGGGAGTCTCTCGGCTCCATTCAGCCCCACATCCTCTCCCCATAGGCCACCCCATTCAGCCCTATAGGACATAGGAGAGTCCCCCATAGCCCTATAACGCCATGGGGGACCCTAAACCCTTCAGAGAGCACCCCCATCCCTCAGCCCCACATCGACACCAATGGGACCCCCTCAGCCCTATGCATCCCCCCCACAGGCCACCTCCTTCAGCCCTATACCAACCTCACAAGGGGATTCCCACCCCCCAGACCTATAGGGCCTGGGGGGGACCTTAACCCTTCCAGAGAACACCCCCATCCCTCAGCCCCACATCAACCCCAATGGGACCCCTCAATACCCCAGGGGATCCCCCCCCAGCCCTACATCTGCCCCAATGGGACTTCCCTCAGCCCCACACCTACCTCAATGGGACCCCCTCAGCCCCACATCTACCTCAAGGGGACCCCGCCAGCCCCACAGCTACCTCAAAGGCACCCCCTCAGCACCACATCTACCTCAAAGGGACCCCCTCAGCCCCACATTTGCCCCAATGGGACCTCCCTCAGCCCCACATCTACCTCATTGGAACCCCCTCAGTCCCACACCGATCCCAACGGGACCCCCTCACCCCTATGTACCCCAGGGGATCCCAACCCCACATCTACCCCAATGGAACCCCCTCAGCCCCACATCTACCTCAGTGGAACCCCCTCAGCCCCACACCTTCCCCAACGGGACCCCCTCACCCCTATGTACCCCAGGGGATCCCAGCCCCACATCTACCTCAATGGGACCCCCTCAGCCCCACATCTACCCCAACGAGAACCCCCTCAGCCCCACACCTTCGAAACGGGACCCCCTCACCCCTATGTACCCCAGGGGATCCCAGCCCCACATCTACCTCAATGGGACCCCCTCAGCCCCACATCTTCCTCATTGGAACCCCCTCAGCCCCACATCTACCTCAGTGGAACCCCCTCAGCCCCACACCTTCCCCAACGGGACCCCCTCACCCCTATGTACCCCAGGGGACCCCAACCCCACATCTACCCCAATGGGTCCCCCTCAGCGCCACATCTACCTCATTGGAACCCCCTCAGCCCCACATCCACCCCAACGGGATCCCCCTCAGCCCCACATCTACCCCAATGGGACCCCCTCAGTCCCACATCTACCTCATTGGAGCCCCCTCAGCCCCACATCTACCTCATTGGAGCCCCCTCAGCCCCACACCTTCCCCAACGGGACCCCCTCACCCCTATGTACCCCAGCCCCACACCCCCCCCCTCACCTCCATCCCCGAACTCCTCCCGGAAGTACTGGGTGGGCTCCGCGGCCGCCAGCGCCAGGAGAGCTCCGAGCAGGACAGGGGGGAAGCTGCTGGGGGCCATGACGGGGTCCTCACGCGGCCCAGCCCGTTCCGCTCCGCACCGACGGCTCCCTCCCGGCCTCGCCGGCGCCCGGCACTGCGGAGGGGGACGGAGGCGGCGCCGCCTTATATAACCCCGCCGCCCCTCGTCCCGCCTCCCGGCACCTCCCATTGGCCGCTGCCTTCCGAGGACCCGCTCCTATTGGCCGCCCGCCCGCTGGCCGGCGGCGACGGCGCCCCCGAACGTTGGCGTCCCAGATGGCCGCTTCTCATTGGCTGCGCGAGGGGGCCAATCAGGAGCGACCACGCGTTAGGAGGGGGACGCCTCTTCCCCGCCCTCCCGCCGAGCTGGGCGTGTCACCGCGGTCACGTGAGCACGCAGGCGCGCTCTTAAAGGCGCATGCCTCCCCCCCCCCCCGCAGACCACGTGAGGGGCGGTGCCGCCATCCCATAATAGCACCGGAGGGGGGAGGGGAGAGGAGGGGAGGGGGGGGAGGGGCCGGATCCTCATCCCGGTGTTATTATGGGATGGCGAGGCACGTGACTCCCGGGGGGGGGTGCCCCCTTATTTCAGGGATCGCGATAGCAGTGACGCGACGGTGACGTCACGCCCTCGAATGACGCCACGCACGACGGCCTCACCCTCGTGACGTCACTCCGCGACCTCATGACGTCATTCATCCCCCACCCACCCACCCAAATCCCCACCGGTGGGGCAGGTCCGCCGCGCCCAAGATGGCGACCGCCACACTCAAGATGGCGCCGCCCTACTAACGCTGCCTTCAAGATGGCGCCTTCCGCTCCCTCCGCTTCCGGTCGGTGCCGGCTTCGCTTCCGGCCGCCGACGATGTCGCCCAGCGTGGCCGAGCGGCTCCTGCAGCGCCTGGAGCGGGAGGCGCCGGGACCCGGGGGCGGCCTCTGCAGCCTGGAGGCGGCCGCCGCGCTCGGCCTCGACCACCAGACCCTGGTGGGAGCCGTCAAGAGCCTGCAGGCGCTGGGGGAGGTGGGTGAGAGCCGGGGCATCCGGTTGCACCGGGATATGGGGGGGGGGGGGAGCTCCGGGGCATCCGGTTGTACCGGGATACGGAGGGGGGGAGCTCCGGTTGCACCGGGATACGGGGGGGGGGAGCACCGGGGCATCCGGTTGTACCGGGATATGGGGGGGGGAGCTCCGGGGCATCCGGTTGCACCGGGATACGGAGGGGGGGGGAGCACCGGGGCATCCGGTTGTACCGGGATATGGGGGAGGGAGAGCTCCGGTGATCCGGTTGCACCGGGATATGGGGGGGGGGGGGAGCACCGGGGCATCCGGTTGCACCGGGATATGGAGGGGGGGGAGCACCGGGGCATCCGGTTGCACCGGGATATGGAGGGGGGGGAGCACCGGGGCATCCGGTTGCACCGGGATACGGAGGGGGGGAGCTCCGGTGATCCGGTTCCACTGGGATACGGGGAGGGGGTGAGCACCGGAGCATCCGGTTACACCGGGATACGGAAGGGGGGGGGAGCAGGGATCGGGGTCACCCCCCCGGTGCTGAACGCGGCCGCCCCGCAGGTGATCGAGGCGGAGGCGCGGGCGGCCACGCGGTGGGAGCTGAGCCCCGAGGGCACGGAGGTGCTGCGGGATGGGAGCCCCGAGGTGCGGCTCTTCCGCAGCCTCCCCGCGGAGGGGCTGCCCCAGAGCGATGCCATGGTGAGTAGCGGGGGGGGGGGGGGTGTGAGGCAGCACCGGGACCACCGGAGGTCTCATCTATGTTCCCCCCCCGGTTAGAAGCTGCCCGGGGGCTCCGTTGGCTTCAGTAAGGCCATGGCCAACAAGTGGCTGCGCCTGGAGAAGGGGGCACCGGGAGGACCCCGCGTCTTCCGTGCCGTGAGTGGAGCAAGGGGGGAATGGGGGCACCGGGGTGGGGGGGTCTCCAGCACCGTGTTACCCCCATAGTGGGGGGGTGGTGACACCACCCCACAACCCCCCCCGGTCACCCATAGGTGCCGGAGGTGCAGGACACGGTGCAGGAGGCCCTGCGGCGCCTGCACCAAGGGGAGAGCGAGAGTGTCCCGGAGCGCGAACGCAACGACCTCAAGAGGAGGAAACTGCTGCTGGAAGTGTGAGTTGGGGGGGGTGTGGTGTAAATTTGGGGTTCCCCCCCTTGAGACCACCCCTTTTAATCCCTTTGACACACACACACCCCCAGCACCCTCAAATCCTACTGGATCCGGAAGGGCAGCGCTTTCAGCACGGCGGTGGCGCGGCAGGAGACGGAGCTGACGCCGGAGATGATCGCGACGTGAGTGCATCGGACCCCCCCCCCCCCAAAAAAAAACGTTATTAGGACCCCAAAAACGTTACCTGGGAGCCCCAAAACGTTGCTGTGACCCCCCCCCAACAGGGGTTCTTGGCGGCAGCTCCCCTTCAAACCCTACAACTTCGCAGCGCTGGGGCTGCCACCGGCCGCAGGGCACCTCCATCCGCTGTTGAAGGTTCGCTCCGAGCTGCGGCAGATCTTCTTGGAAATGGGGTGAGGTTTAAGGTTTGGGGTGCCCCCCCCCAAGTTCAGGGCAGGGGGAACCCCCCTGTTTAAGGCGTTTTGCACCCCAAGGTTCACGGAGATGCCGACGCAGAACTTTGTGGAAAGCTCCTTTTGGAACTTTGATGCCCTTTTCCAGCCGCAGCAGCACCCGGCGCGGGATCAGCACGACACCTTCTTCCTGCAGGGTGGGGAAAAGGGGGGTCAGGGGAAGAAAAGGGGGGGGGGGGGAACAGAAACACACACCCCCACCCGTCCTGAACCCCACTTCTATCCCGACAGACCCCGCTGAGGCCAATGAGCTCCCCCCTGGTTACACAGCCAAGGTGAAGAAGGTCCATTCGCAGGGAGGTTACGGCTCGCAGGGGTGAGGCTGAGACACCCCCCCTCCCCAACACCCCATAGGGTCCCCCCTGAACCTTCTCACCCTACATAGGGTTTAGGGGGGCTTTGCATCCCCTTTTACCCCCCCCAAAGGTACAAATACGAGTGGAAGCTGGAGGAGGCACGCAGGAACCTGCTGCGCACCCACACCACGGCCGCCAGCGCCCGCATGCTCTATAGGTTGGCCCAACAGGTAACGGTGGGTTCGGGGATATGGGGCGGGGGGGCTGGTTTGGTTTGGGGGTAGGGGACCCCCATAACTTGATGTGTGTGTGTGTCCCCTGTTCTTTATGGCTCAGGGGAGGTTCTCACCGGTGAAATACTTCTCCATCGACCGCGTGTTCCGCAACGAGAGCCTGGACGCCACGCACCTCGCCGAGTTCCATCAGGTCGAAGGCGTCGTGGCCGATCGCGGCCTCACCCTCGGCCACCTCATGGGCATCCTCCGGCAGTTCTTCACCAAGCTGGGTATGGGGGGGGGACACACACGGATAAAGACAACCCCCACCCTCAATTTGGGGGTCACCCCCCCCCCCGGGGTCACCCCTTTACCCTGTGCTGTCCCCAGGTATCAGCCAGCTGCGGTT